GATGTGTGCAACGAAGTGCAACGAAGTGCAACGGTCAGCAAAGCACGCACCTTGCAACAGGTTTACTATCTTTGGTTTCATCAGGTCGGTAGCAGCACGGACTTTGTGAGGTGGTTGCACGAAGTGCGCCTTTGCAGGTAAGTTCCGGCGGAACTGAACACAACCGGTTCGGATGACGGTTGACCGGGGTTTCAAGAATTCCGCTCCCACCAAGGATCCACAAAAACGAGAGGTCAAGCAACAGCTGCTTGGAAGAACGTTGCATAGTTAATGCACCCAAGGCAAGCTAGCGAATATACAGACTAGAGCAGGCTTAGCTTGCTACTGTACTTCTCAATATGTATTATTATCATTACTATATATTGATGCGAACAAAACTCCACACAGTATCATCTCATACCCAGCAGCATGACAATCCACTACCATGATGTTCCTTCGAGGGTACCATTTCGGTATCGCATGGCTGGCTGTGCTGATCGCCGCTTGACTCGCCGAAGCGGTCAACAGGTGGAGAATCTCACCATTGACAGAGTCACCATTCATCAGACTGAAGAGCTGGCAGCGCAGGCCAAGGCGCAGAAAGTGTGACTTTATCTGACTGGCATTGACAGCTGGACCGGACCGCTGAAAAACGATAGGGTCCAATATTGACTGTAGCTGTTCGTAGCTGGTACACACATAATATATATTGTATAGTATCGTTTGGGCAAGTGCCCCAGCATTTGACATGCAGTGGATTCACAAACGCAGACTTTTCTATGTGGAGCGGTGAAATTGGCCTCAGGAGCAGCTGAAAGCCCAGACTGCTGAAGTGCAGGATGTTTTCTCAAGGCTGCGTCACGGCACTCACTGAGATGGGCTAGTGCTTAGCAGGTCAGCGACACCTACTTCTCTTTAGTGACTTGTGCATCTTCTGCAAAGTCGGAAAACCTTGACTGTGCTAGTAACAAGAAGCTACTGGGGTGGAGGCCATCGCTAGTAGGTTGGAGGCCATCGCTACTAGTAACAAGAAGCCATTAGGTTGGAGGTAGTGACTTGTGCAAAGTCGGAAAACCTTGACAGCTTTCAGTGCTTTGATGCAAAGATGTCAAGAGAGCTTTGCAGGTGGGAAAGCAGGTTTGAAAGTCTATGCTCTCGGGTGGAGGCAAAGGGCTCAAAAAATGTGTGCTTCTCCTATATAGTCCTTTGTTTCATGAGCGGTGGGAATATGCTGGTGGATGGGGGATGCTAGAGAAGCAAGACTCACTGCACATCAATATATCAACCATTAGACTTAAAACCATTTGGTTATGGACTAGCTCTCTCAACCAAGGGTTGCAGGCCACGAGCATCCACAAGCAAGTAGAAAGTAGAGTTATGATTTGGAGTCTTAAACAGATAATTATATACTGGTAGGCTCCAATCTAAGCTCGAACACGTTTGCTTCTTTTCACAAGGCCAGGTTCCATCTGGAATTCAATGCTACTGCTGGTGAGCTTTAACAAGGACGTTTAGTTATCCTGGGACCCTTCCAATCCTATAGACCCCGGCCGTTGCGACGGTCGAATTCAGATCCGGGCGGCCGCCTGTTCCAGGCGGAATCTTCCCTTCGGATCGGAGAGACCAAGAGGTGGGAGCGAGATTCAGAACGACCATCCGTACTTGGACGGCCAGACCATTCTGTTTGGCTTGACGGCAATGGTTCAGTTAGACCATCGACCATCCGTAAATATGTATATATATATTTTTTTTCCTTTTTCTGGATGCCTTGAGGAGACAAGATTCTGAACAATTGCTGAGTTCCTTGCAGGGTCCTTAGTCCTTCTGCATGGCTTGAGCCAAGGTTTAAGCACTGACTGAACACTGACATAGACATCCCCTTTTTAGTAAAAATTCTTGATCATTTTTGCTCATTGCTGTATGCCTTTGAGCACCGTATTGAACGAACATGGAGGAGCCCAGTGCAAACAGTGCAACACGGAAGAAAAAGGGTAAACTCAACTCCCCGGAGTCGTCAGTTGATGGATTCACAGGGACCATCAGGGACCCTGACCCAATGTCCGTCCAAGACGTCACAACGGAAGTGCTGTGGCTCGAGGGGAGCTGTGCACATCTCGCATATTGGTTGAGTTTAACCACTCTATCATCCGATGGATTTTGCTTTGCTGAGGCTTGGCGATCTTGGGGCTCTGAGGAAAGAGTTCAACTTGAACACTGAGGCACGTCCATTTTCTTCGTGGTCATGTTGAAAAGGTGATGCAAAGGAACTATAAGAAAGCCTGGGTTGACAGATGACTGGAGAAGTGTTACAGGCTGTTTTCTGCAACATGTTGGCTTGTTTGAAAACAGAGAATGCCTGGCCTCACTACTTTTGTCGGGCTCCAGACCTTCATGACACAGGCCACTACGCGTGCCGCAGCCAAGAGCGGCCTTATTCGCTGGGGTTCCATCAGAGGCAGACCCCGGTTGTGCACGCGTGACTTCCTGAAACTGAAGCTGCTGCTTTGAAGCACTAAGATCTTGATAAAGGGATCAATTAGTAGAAGCAAACGCAGGGGCTTGGAGTCCAATAATTGTCTTCACGAGAAGCTGGTGCTGGCTGCAATTGACACATTTTAAAGACCGCCTCCTCCTCAGCGACTGCGGGGGTGAGAGCACAGTTGAGGGCTCACCGTGATGCATTGGCTTTCAGTTTCTTCAGAACAGTTTTTGACATAAGACTCTCATTCATAGTATATAGCTTCTTGCTACTAGTAACACGTGCATTACTACTAGTAGCTTCTTGCTACTATATAGTAGCAATGCACTTGTTACTAAGTAGCGATGCACTTGTTGCTGGTAGTTTCAACTCTGAACATTTTACGGCAAAGCAGCAACGCATCTTGACATGGGTGCCAGGAGCAGATGCGGCAAGAGAGCGCGCATCAGATTTGGAACCGACATTTTCGTGTGTACCAGGCAGCCATCCCGAGCGACATGTCCATGTGTTGTGTCCGTCCCAGAAGGGACTGAAGGAGTCAACCCAAATTGTAGGCACATGCGCTCTCTGGGCATTCCAATATGAACGTCATTGTTACTACTAGCTTCTTGTTACTACTAGTAAGGCACCTGTTACTAGTAGCGTGGCACCTGTTACTACTAGCTTCTTTTGCCTTAATAAAAGGCCTGCTACAGCCTTCTGTTGGAGAAGCAAACCGTCGAAGAGCTGAATCAATGTGCCATCAATCATCAACGAGTTGAGTGTGTGGATTGGGGATCTTGAGCCAGAGCCTCCACAAAAACAAGATAACCGCAAAGTCTCTTTTATGTATATTACAGTATTTTGTTGTTTTATAAATCATCATATTATACATCATTCGCATCATTATTGTGATTGCTACAGTACATTTTAAATGCATCTTTCTATCATTCAATTTTGTTCTCACAGGCGCAGTCCAAGCTCCGTTCACGCCTCCACGATTCCCTGTCCGACAGCAGTCTTGGGCCTGAGACATTCAGAACTCCAAGAAAAGTGGTCTCCAAGTACCAAAAAACAAGCGAGGTGTCACAAGTAAGTTCATAAGTCATCTTCTGTTCACACGTTTTAAACATGTTTGTCTTTTTTTTTCATGAGCTGTCTCACTACACCTTCTTGGGAGTCAGTTTTTGGGACCTCAACACTACTTGTACCTTCTGGAGGTCAACGCCTCTTCCTGGGTTTGGATCCATCCAAGGTCAAGTCCAGATTGGTCGCAGTTCCAACGCACCAAGATGGAGGAGGCAGCTCCAGTGAGATGTGGAGGGTTGTGTGTGCGGAACTGCGCATAGATTCGCACAGTGCACAGATCTGTTCTGAAGAAGCCAACTTAACTAGGATGGATGCCAGGCCAGTGAACACTAGGTTGTGGCATCCGACCTCAGGCTTTCAAGGTTTCTCCCTTGAAATAGCCTGAATGATGTAATAGCCATGTGGTGGTTGCTCAGCGAAGCGCTTGGACAGCGGATCCAAGAGATCTCCTGGGGCTCCCAGTCCGCATCCCAGGTGCTTTATCCACGCTTCAATGGTTTCACAAGCCCTCAGGTCGGACCCCGACCCGGTACCTCGAATGTGCAATGTAAATTGTGTGTCGAACTTGTGTTGCAAAGGATAAGCTTTTGACGGAGTGGTCGAGAGTTAGATATATTGCTTCATACCCATTCACCAATTCAATTCCATCGAAATACAATATTCCTGCCTACAGGTCAATTTTACTGTTCACTACGACCCATCAGAAGAAGCAATTTTGAGCATCTTGAATCTTGAGCTATGGATAATCGAGTTATGCAACATGCGACTGATTGTAAAGAACGGTCGTTACTGTACATGATGTAGTAACAAGAAGCTATTAGTAACAAGTGCCACGCTAGTAGTAACAAGTGCCTTACTAGTAGTAACAAGAAGCTATTAATTTAATTTTAACATCGCCGCAGTGTTTGCAGATGTTCTTTCAGCATCTTCCAGCCGCCGTCGCGCAGGTTTCACCTCGGCTCCCGCTCGGGTGAGCGAGTCGGGTAGGGACGAGTCAGGTCGGTAGGGACGGCCCTTTGGGCCCTTCTCAGCGGGCTGTGGTCTTCTCAAGGCCCAATGTGGCCGAGCTGTTGAGCTAGAGACACGGTGAAATGCTGAGACACTGTGTGCTTGAGGAACCATGAAGAACAAGTGTTCCTTTTGAGAGACTGTGAAAGATATGAAAGTCTCTTTAGGATTCAGTGTTGGATCCAGTGCCGTTTTTGCTTTGAATGGTTTTGGCGGGTCCTATCGCTCAAGTTTACGGTCCAGTTTCTGGGGGCACAAAGGAGCAATGGCCGCTTGAATGGTGGCCATGCCCACTTGAGTGGCAATCCAGTACCCCATACTACCTTATTGACTGGCTAGATCAATTAGAAGTGGCAGAGACGAGCGTATCCAGAACAAGTCAAATATACAAAAATAGTCCAATACTCGTCAAATTCAAGTCAATTTGCCCAAGACATCTTCCATTTTGGGCATTGAGGCAGTAGCTCTTGAGTTTCACGCAATCAGATACTTTCCATCCACTCCGGATATGTTCTCTTTGGCTCAACTCGCCCATTCCTGCAAAAACCGCCCTACAGAGGGTTTGCTTCGCACGTGGCGACTCTCTGCCATGGAATGGTCCCAGCTGCAAGAGGCTGATCCAATCGCGCACGTGGCCCAAGTCAGAGCGCGTTTGTTATCTCCCCCTAAAGGTGGGCCATCCATCTCCCAAGCGTCGCGACCATTGTCCTGGCCTTATATGTCTTTGTGAAGTTGATGGATGTTGATGCTTGGATGAGTGAACCGCTTTCTGGACTGCTTTCTGGCTTATGGATCCATTGGACGACCTGCAGCCATTGGATCAAGAATCCCTGGCAGTCCGTCCAATTGAAGACTTGGCAGGACTTGGGCTTTGGCTTTCGGCCTGGAAGAAGAGCAAGCTAGTGCAACAATGATCACACGGTTCCTGAAAGAAGGTCAACCAAGCTCCCACTTCTACGCTTCAATTTGCTTCCTTTGATCAATTCACCACAGGACGACATTCCTTGTCCTGACCATGCTGCTTGGCGAAAGCTAATTGCTCACCGGAGGGGCTTTGAGGGCACGGGAAGTTTGGATGCAATCAATGGTGGGTTATGACTTATGAATACTTATGATATGTTATTGATGGGCTTGTGCCCTTCACCCGTAGCTCGCGGAGCATCAACCGACCATTTTTTTAAGAGGCCAGGCAACCACTCTGTTCTTTGTCGGGCCTTTGAAGCTTTTGCTACTAGGAGCAAGGACGCTACTCGAGGCTCCTGGCCTGACTACCAGAGGAACAAGAAGCTACTAGTAACAAGGGCGGCATTACTACTAGTAGCAAATAGCAACTACTGTAGTAGCGTCCTTGCTACTAGTAGCGATGCACCTTGCTACTAATTAGTAGTAATGCCCTTGTTACTAGTAGCGATGCATTTGTCACAGCAAAGATTGCCAATCCAAAGTGTGAGTTGTTTGTTTTGTCCAAGAAGCATGGATTGACATAGATGAGCCACAAAGCACTGGGTGATTCCCCACCCAGGTTTTGGCTATCATTGATGTCCCTTTGCCCTTTGGCATTCGCTGGCTTCATGCGAACCCATCACATGTTGAAGGTTCGAGGTTGTGTTGACGAAAGCGTGAATCTCAGGGTGAGCTACAGGAAAAGCCATGAAAAACACTTTGACGCGGTATGTTGTACAGGTATCAGTGAAACATTGTGGCCATTGTTAGCCCCGCAAGCTCTTAGCAAGTGTGCCAACTTTGATCTCACCTGCATTTGCCGTTTTTCCTGTGGGTTTTTGGCTATGACACGGCAATATCATATCTACAATATAGTCTTGCTCAAACCGTTGAGTCTGACAGGTGGAATTCCGTCAGGAGCTGCGAGTCTGCAATGTGTTTGCGTCCGAGAGCGCCTTTGATGTCGCTCGGGGCCCGGATGACGCTTTCGTCGAGCGTGCAGTGCGCAGCGCGGAACTTGTCGCGACGAGGTGAAAGGTGCGGAAGTGCTGACCACGAAACCGCTAAAGTGCTCCTTGTTTGGTTCGACAAAGACAAGTCCATGCAGTGGCGGTGTGGGGGTGGAAAGATCTTGAGATCTGGATACAGCAGAAAGTTCGGTTGGTGCAAAATGCGGTCTTGCGGAGGTACATGCAATGCCAGACCTTTGACAAAGCTTTGAAGGCAGGTGACAACCTTGAATTCAAGCAGGGCAATCACACGGCCGGAGTCTTTACTGTCACTCTGATGCAGATTTATATAATGCACTTCTTCTTGATGGCAAAGATGTTTGACAGATTTGCCTCCATGCTTCCAAGCCCATTCTGAAAGCTGTGCCTCCCAAATCAGGAGGCCCTGGTAGAACTCAAGCACCGTGTTTGTGCTGTATTGGACTGGCTATACACCGGCCCAGCCATAAATGCAGCATTGTGGGCCTCAAATGCAACAGGCTGTCAAGCTACATTCGTCGGTCGACGACGTCGGGTACAAAAATTAAGGTACATAATGGTACAGTGGTACATATTATACTGTCACTATACAATTTGTATATATATGCAAATGATATCCAGCAACCACTGATCGTTTTGGTCTTTTGAGAATTCCCTTCTCTAAGGTTTGGGGCCTCCCTCAGCATGATGCCATTTTGACGCTGATCGCGCACAAAAGCCAAGACCCAGGCAGCGTTGACCGAGTGGCCATGCCAGGTTCTTTGCGATCTCCTATCCCTTTTAAAAGCTACTAGGAACAAGTGCATCGCTTCTAGTAACAAGTGCCTTACTAGATCTTACTAGTAGTAACAAGAAGCTATTAGGAACAAGTGCATCGCTACTAGTAACAGGTTCTTTGCGATTCCAAAATTTTGGGTCAAGTGTTCGCTTCCTCAGATACACAAGCCAGTCCTGTCCAGGCCAATTCAATCAACCAGTATCTTTCATGCTTTGGGCCAAGAGAATAACTGGCGCTTATTGAGACTCTTGGGTCTTTGCGCATTTTCTTTGGACCAGACCAGATTCATAGATTCCTCGCTTGCTTGAACGTTCGCACCACAGCACCATTTACCATCCATTGCATAAGTGATTGTGCTTGAACATGAGTGTGCTGGGTGTTTTTTGTTTTCCGGAAATGACGAAATGAGGTCTCATGTCTTTGCTCCTTCAGAGACCGCTCAAATAGCTGTGATTGACACCTACAACGGAGCACCTGCCAACATGAGCATCTTGACTTGGGTAACTGGATGTTTGGTTTCTGGCTTCTCTTCGGCTGGAGAACCATCTTGATGGAGAGAGCGACTGAACCGAGGCATCAAAGATTCGAAGGAGCCAAGGAGCTTTGACTGCTGTCAACGAGCGGACATATCACAATTGAACATAGCTTTCAATTTTGCAGGAGCGAAGAGCTTGTCTTTGGCACAGTCACTGGCATTAATCCAGGCAAATTCACAGTTGCAGACATGTGAGGGGGCTGATTCTAAACTTGTGGTAAATGCTTGTGGAATCCTGTTGTAGTGGCCGGGTGTGAGATCTTCAGAGCCGGACCCTTTCAGCTTTCGTTTGACATTGTTGACTCCAAGTTTAAGAAGTTGAATGCCTGACCTCCTGACTTTGCCACGGCAAAGAACAGTCCTGAGAGGCACTTACAACATTCTTCTGGATGCCAAGAATCCGGATTCTTCCTATGAGCTGAAAGCTGACAAGAAGGCCCTTGGATTGTGATGAGAAAGACATTGCTTCACTACATAGTTCCTGCATGGCAGAGTCAGCAAGAAATGACCTCGGAACAGCACGCGTCCCCTATGGGAGAGGGGAAAGGGTAGATCACCACATTTGGACGGCAGGCGAAGGAGAGAAATGAAGATACGCCATGATAGGGCTTTTCACGACAGAACACACGAGAAGTAAGCGAGCGAGCAAGCAGCACTGGGATACGGGGCGCTTTCGATTTCATCCTGAATCGGTCTGCTCTTACTCTCACGCTGATTATTCTCGAGCTTGCTGTTGCAATTGACAAAGCAATTGATTGCACTGCCATCACTGCTCACGCAATGTTTGTGTCAGTGTGAGTGTTCTAGCCCGCAAAGCGGCTTGAGCAAGCAATTGATTATAACTGATTGTTGCACCTTATATGAGGTTACACCAGGTTCGCAATCGTCGGAGATCACCAGAACAACTGACTAGAACCACTTTGACACATATCGCAAATACCGAAGCAGATCACGAGGCTTCACATGGAATGGCTGCATGCAGATAGAAACCCACGGAGAAGTCTAGAGAACCTTGCCACGGTTGCTGTTTCTTCACAAAACTTGGTCGGCTTAGCCAAGTCGGCGTAGCTTCACAACAGCTCAGCACTTTGTGTTGCAACTGTTGCTGTTTCAACCGTCAAGTGGCCTTAAAGCCTCAGCTTAGCACTTCAACAGCTCAAAATTGGCTCCACACGAGTGTTCTTGATACCTGCTGGGGCCTACTTGGCCGCCCACTTGGCCCACTGCGACCTTATCTCGTGGCTCGGATCCTTCAAAGCTTTGACAGCCCAGCGAATGCGCTCAGCTCCGTGCATCCCAGCGAACGCTCACTACGTGAGTCTCAGAGTTTCTGGGTGTGACAACACTCCACTTCGACTCGTGTACATGTGCTGCCGAATGTCTTCACAACGAGCTTTCTACTTATGTTTCTTCATTTTACAAAATGCACGGCTCACGCAGAGGTGCTTGAGGCGAAGGTTCATGGAACTTCGTCCAAATTAAGTATAAACATGTCCATGATAAGTATAAAACCGTCTTGGTTGTGTTAACATTTATTAGACATCCACTGAGCAGCTTCCTTTGCAAGTCTTGACAGGAATGCTATGTGGTTGTGCGCACAGGGTGGAACTGCCAGAGTGCAAACTGCTCCTACCCTCAGCAGATCCTGGTCTATCCTCAGGCTGGACCAAGACTCGTTTGCTGCTTTCGACTCAATACCCGTAGTTGACCAGGAGAGTGGCGCACAACTGACATTGGCCAGCATCTCCATTTTCTCTTTTCTGATCTCGTGCTTTTGGTGAACCCCATAGCTAACCGTTGGGCTTCAAGGCAGCATAAATGTGCTTCCTGAGACCTCGGCGGGCTGAGTGAAAGAGGGCATGCCACCATGCACCACATGCTGCGCATCACATGCTGCACTTGGAATGGCACCATCATGAAAGTCATGCAAGCCCCATTGGCCTTGAATGAGGCGTCGCCACTATGGCGGGGTGGGGAGGCAGAGCGAGCACATGCATTCCAATGATTTAACATTTAAACATGCATACGCCATACACACCCATTATTGTTTCTTCTTAAAATGTACCAAAAGCATCAGAGAATAGTTATATGTGTTTGATCGGTAGTTGATTCTTATGATTTTGAGGCTAGTTTACACAATTTTGGCTGGAGTTGCAAGACCTCGCTAGCATCATGATTTCTTAATATTCCTCAACTCATGTCGAAATGCATGACATGGCCCGTCCGCAGCCCGCAGCACTTTTCTTCTTGTCTCCCTCAGTGGTTGAACGCAGCTTTGCCAGTGACTTGCCAGACGGAAGTCTTGTAGAATGAGAGTGGGATATTGAGTCTATCGACAACCTGTGGAAGGCCAACTTACAAATTATACAACCCAACTTCAGGAATTATAGGCACCCATGAAAGATAGCTGAGCTTCTGAGTTTTTTTCTGGATTTGTTGCATTTGGAAGCCTATTGGACATATTCGTTGCTGTTGCTCCTCGCATTTGGGTTCTCAGCTTTATCGCCCTGGACCACCTCTCCACAACCCCATGAAAGGAGGTTTATTCTCTTCCGTGGGCACGATCAACATGATTGACAAGTATGTGAGCCAGTATGGTAGACAAGTACCTCATGTTGATCAAGTTTGTGGACGACTTTGGCGATGTCTCAGCTCTGGACTCTGAGGTCATGTTCAGTTGGCTCACCGGGGCAACGACCGTCACGCACGCAACTTAGGAAGTTACTTAGTTCCGCATGCACTGCGCAGACAGCGGCGGATGGACCGGTTTCAGACAGCTCGTTTGTGGCTTTTTGTGAGTTTGAGGTGCAATCCAGATTATGACTCGTCCATCCAGCCTGGCAAGAAGGGCATGATCACTGACCCCATTGAGGTGAGTTGGTTTGCTTCAACTATCTTCCGACTGTGATGCCTAATTAATGCCTCGAAGACCTAATATAGGAAAGGCGGCCGGTAGTCAGCTAGTTGATGGATGCGACACAGCTCAGTTGACTACATCCACGAAGAAGCGATATTGACATCGTCAGAGATGAAACAGTCTGGGAATTGGTCATTGGACCTTTTTCAAGTTCCTGCTTTGCTGCTCATAGGACATGACACCCGAGAAGTTCAATGCACCTTGGCGATTGGAATTCAAACTTGAGGGATTCCAGGTTTTGCTGGAACCCGACGCGGAAAGCACATGCAACAACCGAGGACAAGTTTTGGCCACTCGGCACCAATAGGTGAGTCACAGCATGCAGACACCTCTTGAGAGATTGCGGCTGAGTTTTTCTTGCTCGGAATCATGCAGTATGCAAGACACGGGAAGAGTTTTCACTGCTTGTTGGCAAGGAAGTGGGTTCAAAATCAGCCTGCCGTTACGAGCTATGAGACTGGCCGAGAGTGCACAGGAACAAAGGCCAGGGTGAAAGAACATGTTAGAACCCAAAGGCGGGAAACGATAGTAACAAGAAGCTATTAAAGGGCATCGTTACTAGGAGCAAGGACGCTACTAGGGGCTCCTGGCCGTGCAGAACCGTTTTCTGTGGGTAAACAACACGCCATATGACTAATAGCTTCTTGTTACTAGTAGCTATTTGTTCCTAGTAGTGTGAACACAGCTGGTTTCACCTATCAGGAGAGTGGCATGGTAGTCGCAATGCACATTGAGGCAGGAGTCCACGGAGAAGGGTTGCATGGACTCGTAATCTTTCGGAACACGGTTCTGCCTTCTGAACGGTCATTGAATGGCCCCAGAAAGCAATTCGTTGAATTTCCATACATGGAGCCACCTTGTCAATCGTTCCTGCAGGTGTCTGGCATAGCCGCATTGCTTGTGACTTGGCGTCCATCCCTTTAGCTTGCATTTCTCGTGAAAGCTGCGTATGGACACCTTTGTCCTTTCTTTGTCCTCGACCTGCAAATAAGGTCAGCTTTAAAGCATCTGTGTACACCAAGTACTACGAAAAGGGCGATTTGATTGAATTTGGTTGCCAGTACTCGTAGGGAATGCCGTTACATTTAAGTGAGTTGGCTGATTCGCTTTTCCTTGAAGCCATCTTGGAATTTGCTGTGCCCAGATGGCTGCTATTATATCGACAACTATGCCGCGGACAAAGACCTGAAGAGCCTTGGGCATCGAACGATTGTGAAGCCGCTCACAGAGCCTTGGCCGCTCACAGAGATGTGGGTGCCAATTTCACTTGATCGACCTGATTACTTTCTCTAAGCACTGAGGATCCTTTCCGCGTCTCGGCAGTGCTTGAGAAAGGGCACCCGTGGGTGCCATCCAAAACGCTTTGTCGAGAAGAAATGAACCAACAATCTGTGGGTTTGTTTCTTGAGCATGGTTTTCTTGATCTTAGCGCAGTGTTTGTCTCCAGCTTTTCTGACACATCCTTTGCCATGTCTGGGCATTTCAGGACTTGAAATCTTCGATGAAGAAACCGGCGCTCGTGGCTTGGTGCTGAACCTGGTCATTCTGTCAAATCAACCACAGCCCCGAAATGCCCAGAAGCAAACCTTGTCCCAAGGTCTGCATGTTGGGTAGAAATGCGGGTTCGCTGGGTTCGTTGTCAGTTGGGTTGGCTGATCGTGCAAATCTCCAGTTGCTTGACGGTCTCCCGCAGTTCATCTAGAAACGACCTATCAGATAACCAAGCAAGGCAGTGGCAGTGAGTCTCAGTGACATCTCTTAGGACGAGCAGGACCCTTTATCAAGGGTATGTTTGAGAACGATCTGAAGACAGCTGGCATTGCATTTGAGAAGGCTGGCAGCCTTGCGGTGCAAGCATTGTGGTCTTAGTTAGCTTATGTTAGCTTCTTTATTTGGCGAGTAGGATGGCCCCAAAGAGATCAGCTCTTTTCCTTCCCAGCAGTTATATAATTAAGTGTTGAAGTCGTGGGCGACCATAGAGCGGTCAAAAGCGCGGCAAGTTCTTGTTCAGACTTGGACATAGGTCTGAGTCCGATGGGTCAGCTTCCAATAGAGGTTTTGGATCAACCCATGTGTGTTTGGCTGACCCATAGAGGTTTTGGTTCAGCAGAGAATTTCTGCCCAACCTGTTTCGGGTCAGTCAAACACAAGGCAAGCTTTTTTTACGGAGCCACTCTTTGGCAGCTTTTCGCTTCCCTTTGTACAGCTGATCATTTGGCAGGTGGAATCTGACCAACCTTCGCCGACGGCTCCGGGCCAGTTGAGCGTCATTGCCAGTGTTAGCGATCCAGACTTGGTGAGCACAGAGGTTCGTGTCACAGATCGTTGCATACGGCTGATTTGAATAAACGGCAATAGAAATGGGAAAAGGGAGGTCAGGTCATTCTAGATGATTCTAGTACCTGACGATATCGGAGGATGATTTCTTATTTCCATATTCTATATTGTCTCATCTCAATATAATGAGATACACCACATGTCTTGGAGGCTTTGTGGAAAAAGTTCAAGGCTTCCTTGATGGAGAAAGGGTCCACTGAACAGGCCAGGAAGCGATACCCAAGATTGCCTTCCGCTGAAATCTTGTGACAAGTTGTGCCTGTTACAGACTATTACAGACTGCTGAACTGTTTAACTCAGCTTTCACGCTAAGCCGCTAGGCAGATGGATCAGTGAAGACAGAAGTATCAGGCCCAAAACGAGAGAATCAGCGAGAAGCTGTTGCTAAGCAAGCACTCTGAATGAGTCGTTCATAAAGTGCAGCGTTAGAGCAAGAATCAAGCTGCCTTCTGCATATGCGGAGGCATCCTTTCAGCGTCTACTTTTGCTCTTACAAGCTACGACAAGGTGAGATGTTGTCCTGTGCATTTCGTCGCGTGACGATGCTGTCCGACTCTTGGCAAAGTTGCCTGTCAGGACAAAGACGAAATTGTCGGGCACAGCACTTACTTGACCTGACAGCACTACTTGACGATAGTATTCGTGCTTGAAACTGAACGCCCCGTTAGCTGATGGCTTTCCTTTTTTATAGAAGCCTTTTACAGGTCTTGACACAGTAGTACAATAGACCCAACAAGCAGTCCCGATTGGCATTGTGCAATTCTTCTAGGCTGGACTGCGGCGCCGACTCTTCCTGCAAGGAGGGGCACAAGAGAAATGCAAAGAGACAAGATGCTGAACAGCTCCACCTGGATAGATAGAGCTACTTGACCCATGGGCAATGAGCATAATTGAATGACAACCGGGCAAGGCCTAATTGGAATTACTTGGGCCTCAGGAGTACCAAGCACAAGTCTACACGAAGCTTTTGGCGGATCCTGCGCGCAAGCTCAGATCAGAAGAACGCCGATGTCAGAACACACACCGCCTGCACCATCCAGCTACTGTAACTTTTCCAGCTTTTGGCTGGGCCCGAGGTCCGAATCGAGCGATGGATATGCCCAAGGGCAGCGGTGACATCAGATGAGAAAGGTGGTAAAGCCGTTTCTCAGATCCTTGACTGAACTGACAAGCTGTCAAGTATATAAGTGTTCAATCCAGGATCGCAGTATACGAGATTCAGACTGTACTTGCATTTGCTTGCCATCACAACCTGGTTCCAACTCTGCACTAAAGCAAGGGCGATGTCCGCGATTGTGAACATTGATTGAGTGGCTGGATGTACAGACGAGCTCAAGTGGAGCACGGCTCCCAGTTGTTTTAGCATTGTAGATGCGGACGGGCGCCTGCAAATCCTGAATGCTTAGTGTGTGCCCATGCTTACCTCCAGCAGCAGGGCGCGTTGAAGCCGTTTCTGAAGCGGAGACAAAGAAAGGGTGGAAAGAAGCAGACAGTTGCTGGTAAGGGCATACTTTTCGCACATCGATGTCAGACGTGGTTTGTTTAGAACTTGCTTGGAGCCTGTGGAAATCAGGTTATGTTTCTTTAATAATTAACTACATTTATCTACGTTTCATTAGCCAAAAAGGCTTGCCATTTTGGCTCAAGATTGACTTCAAAAGAAAACGCTCCCGCTTTCTCGACTTCCCTCAATTTCTCGCCATGGCGTCTTTTGACTGGGAGCTTTTGGAGGGTGCTGCCCTGCCCCCCGTCTGCCTCCGAGGCGGCTACCCAGGATCGTGATGTACAATTGATTGAAGAGGAGATGCTGGAGGACATGGGTGTCTCTGACGCCCTAGCTGGTCCGGCCCGGGATGACACAGAATCGGTGGGCTTCGTCAAAGTTCGATCCTTCACTGTCGGGTGAGGATCTCGTGGCTTGTCAGTCGTCCCGCTTCATCTCGCCGGTGAACTGCCACGCATCCGTGCGAACCTCCAGCCCAAGGCCTCTCAGCTCACGGTCGATGAACTGGTGTTTGTGCCAGTTCAGGGGAGGGTATAATCGAGGTCAACACGGGGCACGCGCACCTCCAGCAGCGCGACCGTGGGAGGCCAACTGGACTCAGTTCTGCTCCGGCCGGCATGGCGCTTGCAAGGTTCACCGCAGTTTCCCACCCTCAAGCCTGGCAGGCGGCTACCGGCTACAGCGAAGCGCCTGGGCAAGCAGCAGGAGGACTTTGCTAAGGTGGCTGACCAGGCGGAGGGCGCGCATGTCTTGCGCAACGCGGACTTGGTCCGGCTCAAGGAGCTGAATCCTACGGCGCCTATGGACCCGTTTCAGGGTGCCTGGGTCCTGGTGTCCAGTTTCTTCCTGAGTCTCACAATGGACTTGATGATGCTATTGGACAATGTGAATAGCAACGAGTTCGTCATGTGGTGGAGACACGTTCTGATGGGTCCTCAACGCAGCACAGGAATGTATGCTTACGACTTTTTTTTGCCGCAAGCCATTGCAAACCGTGATCTGCTCTACGGACGAGGACGCAGCCTGGCACAACAAGAAGTGGCTTGAAGCCGGCTTTCAGGGTGCCATCCAGGTCCATTCTCATTTTGTTTTCTGACCACTTAAAGGGCCAAGATCAGAAAGAAACGAAGCCAACAATCAAAAGTGCCTGCCGCGCCTGCACTTTTCCGTTGGTTGTTTGGACTTGGCTTTGAAAGAAGCTTATGATATCTGACGCTTATATATTATACATTATATCTACTTTGCACCCTTGCTGCCAGGGTCAAGGTCATCGGCGTTCCAGACACGAGACCCTTTCAGGACTGCACCTTGCATCCGAAGCAGCTGTTTTATGAGCTTGATGTGAAGGAAAGCGTTTGATATTCAGTTCGTTATCATGCCGAGCATTGATACGTGGCAGATGTTGCTAGGCTTTGACAGTTGCAACAAATGGGCAGATGATGGCAGATGTCTCATAATTAATATAGGTAGTGGGATCCTGGGATCAAAGCAGGCCCATTGTCGACGTGAGACTGCAGGACGCTCAATAGGGTAATTGAAGGTCTTTGATGCAATGAGTGAACTTGAATTAATTGTGCTGTTTGCAACCTGTCGAAACAGGAGAGCCTATTGGACACAGAATTGGGCAAGGCTCTTCAGGCACAAAGGGGTCTTGTGAGTCGTGATCAAGTTGGTCAACCAAAAAACATCGATTTTGGATACCGCCTGAAACGTGAGGCATTGTGTTTCCGTCCGGACATGAAGTCTGAGTTGTTCGATTCTGGTCTGGTTTGATTAGGTTTTCTGCTTGACAAATGAGTAGATGGCTATGGATGACCATGGATGACTGGTTGAAAGATGTTTAAGCTGGTGCTTCGAGTCGAGCAGCAAATCCATCCAAACGCCCAACGTTGGACCTGCCAGACACTGCTAGTCGCAGAGCCTGACCGGATTGATCCACAGGCTGGGTGAATCCAACCAATCCGGCAGGCTTTGTCGGTGAATCCGTTGCAAAGGATCCACTTGGTGACATATTATATATTATGACGACGTCGCAATGCATAGTACATAATTGCACCGCAGATTATTCCAGAGCCATATCCCGCTGGATGGTTAGGTTACTTTTTGTTAAGTCCTCTGATGCCACAGCCGTTGCTCTTTGGTTCAAATCGTCGGTTGGGTTGAAATGACAGAAGCTTGCCAGAGAGTGAAAGGTCCTGTTGAAGGCTCGGGACGCTTTTGTACTGTGCCATTGACACCAGGCTGCACGAAGAGTCTTGGACTTTGTCAGGCCCGCAGCAGTGTTGGTCACAGAAATTGTTGCTAGGGTTGTTTGTTGCAGTTTATGACCCGTTTCTTTTGCCACAAGCTTGGCTTGGCCCCTGTCATTGAAGCTTTTAAACAGCCAGCTGCAGCAGTATCTGCACAGCCACGAAATCAGAGCAGGCCAAATACCACCACCATATCCAAAGTACTGCGCCTGCCACGAAATCTGTACATTGACATAAAACCGCTCCGATCTCCTGCACCTGTCACGATAAGTCCCAAAACACGAGGTTTCCCCTGCACCTGCCACGAAAAGTGATCACCAAACCCGAAAATGTGCACGGCACCACAACGAGAGCGCTGTCTCGAAGAGCGCCCGCCCCTGCACGTTCGAAATGAACTTTGAAGATCTTGAGGTGAATGAACATAATGAATGTAGTAATGTAAGTAGCAGCGAATTAGCCGGACATGCCGATGAACACCTCGATCAGACCCCCGCCCTTAACCACTACTTTAAAGCCCTCGTAGTGTTGCCACAGTGTTTGGGGAAAAAATCAATGACTAAGTCACAAACTAAGTTTGGATAGTTGGCAAATGTTGGCAACTGCTTGAATCTTTTGTCGCCCTGTTGCTGTTGTCCTTTCCCCAGTGTTTTTCCTTTCGTTTTTTTGATCCCTGTCAAATCCTGTCAAATGTTTTTTCTTGCTATTCTGCTTCCCTGATCCTTCAGTGGAAAGGGAACGAGAGCTGGAAACTGGACAGCAAAACCAACCGTTTTGACGCTCTGCAGGAGCCGATGCTTGACGCCGTTAGATTATCTCCGAGCAGCCGTGCCACCAAGATTGTTTTTTCAACGACTGACCAGAGTAAAGACATTTCTAAACTGCGTCGGAGAGCTATGCAAGGCTTGGAAAACTCAGGGTGTAAAGTTTGTCAATTGTCATGCCAAAAACATGATAGCAAACGTTGTGTAAGAAAATCATCATTCTGAACTTCTCAACTCTCAATTGAGCATTCGTTCTAAAAGAATGCCTGCTCGTGGTGTCGTTTGGAGTCGGAGTTTGATGTTGTCAAAGATGGAAGAGCCACGTGGAACCAGGTGACGGCAGCAAATCGACATGGTCTTGTTGAGGCAGGACTTTTAGGGACAGAATGCCCAAGACACATTTTCTCTCCCAAGAAACAAGGAATATACATATATATATATATTACATAAGTGGATATATGGGGCGCTCTTTTCCTCTTTCCATCTCTTCTCTTTTTGTGCAGAACACTGGCTCAGGAAAGATAGAGAATCGAGACAGTTGCATGTGGTGTGCTCTTCGAAACCATGCGACCTTGGTCTCAGGAGTCGTTCGACCTTGTTCTCCAGATGCTGCGTGAGGTCAGCTGAGCATTCCTCTAAAAGTGCACAGGTGAAGACCTTTACAACCAAACATGTGTGGCCAACTTGAACGTATTAGGACATGACAGTTGACTCCTGTTCCGGACTTTGTTGCCCAGAAGAAATGCATTTACCCTGGAGAGAGCTGTCAACAGGTGGCAGAGGAAGCGAAGGCAAGGAAGACAGTGCCAAACTTGGCACTTTGGAAAGTCCATGATCATGTCATAGGAATTCCCAAGAACGTTGTAACATCACAGAACTGAGGATACTGCTCCATTCGGCTGGGATCTCAAAGTGGAAGATCTGGATCAGCTAAAAGGAGTGAATCAAAAGCAAGGGCCAGATGATGCCAACCAATGACCATCTCTTAAGCAGATTATTTCGTTGATTTTGCGAGTTTTGGCTAGTTACGGGCTTTTGCCAGCAACTATTGAGGTCTTCGAGAGGCAAAGCACCAATGGATATCTTCGACCATCATGGAGGCCAACCATCCGCAACCTGTGAGGGCTGCAGCAGAGGAATGAAGCAGCCGGGAACACTAACAACCCAGCGGGACGGCACCACAGTAGCGTCCTTGCTCCTAGTAGCGATGCCAGGAGCCCCTAGTAGCGTTCTTGCTCCTACCCCCCCCACGTTTTACAATCATGTGTGTTTTCTTGCTTCCCTTGGTTGAGCAAGCTTTGACCGGTTCTTTGAAAGTTCATCTTCAGAATGTCTGAATGGCTGCGCCGCGAGAAATGGGTCGGCTTCTATGAAGGATCTTATGCTCCGCACTTGAAATCTGACGGAACTGACGCAGCTGAAGGAACTGAGCCAAGCGAAAAGCTTCCCTGGCGCAGTCATGCACCAGCCTCGCAACTGCTGGCTTTCCTGGATACCTCTGTATTATCCCTGTCAAAGATGCGAGCACTGGAGTTGGGCTGCGGCACAGGTGAGAACTTGGTGGCTTTGGTCCAAGTGTTTGACTTTGTTTGTGGAGTTGACATTGTCCAGGAGGCAGTGAAGATCAGTGAAGCTGCACTCAAACAGGCACTGATTCCAGCCTCAACAGCGCAGGTGATTTGTGCTGACATCTTCCAGCTTTCTCCAGACGTCCGTCTGGTTGATCAAGGTGTGGTGAAGACTTCAATTCTAGGATCTCCTATGTGAGAAACTGCGATCGATCTACTGTGGATACAACTCTGTATATGATGGCCCATATATAGTACTAGAATGCACTAGAGGAGAGGCTGCGCTACGCTGCGCTAGGAAATAATGGCTGCAGCTTCAGACTAAGAAGCTTCTTGATGGCTGACTCCTTCTATGATTTGAGCAATCACTTTTGTTGTGTGAGCCCTGTCAAGGCAGCTGGCAGTTCGACTTTGTTTTCGATTGCCAGTGCTTTCACTGTTTATACCAAGTCGATGGAAGGGCAGCGGCTCACGTCATTGCAAAGTTGTTGGCTCCTGGAGGTTACTTGCTTATGCTGACTGGCAACTCAGAGGACTGAACAGATAAGCCATGACACGTCTACCTGTTATATGGGAGGCCTAGTAGGTTGGAGGCCATCGCTAATGGAAACAAAAGAAGACAAAACGCCTCCCAAGGGCAATTCTCCGCTCATCGGGGAAAACCGGCGCAGGAAAGGACTCATTGTTGGCTTTTGACGGCTTTTGACCTTGCTAGTCTTGAAGATCTATTAGGCCTTTTGTTTCCCTATCATCAGCCAGTCTAAAGGTGTTTGTACGAAGTCTTGGCTCCTTTCCCACACACCATAGTCAGAAAACCCAAACCAACCACTTGTCAATCACGTAGGCTGCGAATGGCTGCGGGGTGTCAGAACAACCAACGACTCCAGTGTTTTGCCTAACCAACACCATCAGCACAGGAAGAGGCAGCACGAGGGCCAGTCCAACTTTCGAGAGAAGAAGTTCTTCATGCCTTTGACGGGACGGGTCTCATTTGTAAGGACTGACAGTTTTTTTCATGACATGAGATGACTGGGCTTTCACTTCACAGTTGCTTTAGCGAATTCGGATGAATGGGTTTTGACATGTTTTGCCCGTGTTGAAGTCGCACATTTGATAGAGCGGGCATTGCCCCAGGGATGCCTGCATGCATATGCTCTTTGCCAACTTACAGCAGAGTTGTGCTTGTATGGTTAGGGCGTTAGGGAGAATAATTGTAGTGCTTCCAAGACACGGGCACAGGGCACATAGTTACTGGTACTTGACAAACGACCTCGCTATTGTGAGGGGAATAGCCGTCCTTCTTCGGATAGATTCGATCGCTTGAAAGCCTTGCAGGAGCTATCTTCAACACGCTTCGATTGGACAGACACCTACCGCCGACAAGACTTCAAAGATCCTCCTTTGGCTTGGTGCTCCCTTTGGATGAAGCCTGAGCTCGGTTGAACGCGCACGGGCAAGAAGCTACTAGGGTGGAGGCCATCGCTAATAGGTTGGAGGCCATCGCTACGAACGTAACAAGAAGCTACTACGCGATGGCCATCGCAAAGAGTGTGCCCCACAGCATCGCAGGGCAACGGCAACTCTGAGATGTGCCCCGCCGGTGATGAAAGTCTGTTCTGGCAGCTTGAATTGCCAACATCTAGAAGACCTTGCTGTATTGTGAAACGAGTGATTCTGCTCGGGAAAACAGTCCAGGCTGCTCCCTGGCCAACAGTAAAGCCTGTTGGATTCAATCTCTCAATGTCTCTTTGCATGATCTTTATGTAAAGGGTAGTGATGTCATCTCGCTGACCGTTGAAGTAAAGTTGGGAGCTGGGGAAGATCGGGAAAGACCAGGCGGAAGTATAAGCAACAGTAGCTTGATCCCAACGGAAGAGAAAACTCTGTCCAGAAGAAAGGTGGAAGCTCTCAGCAAGATGTTTGAGACGACCCTTCTTCGGCTCACAGCTTTTGGAAGACGTTCCATTGTCAAGCGGACTGAGAGAAATAATTACATGCGGGCCAGATATTCAAGATGCACAACAATGTGCTCAGGCAATCTTGTTGGACAAATCACCCTTCCGCAGACCATCAACAACGAATCAAAACCCGAGGGATTCTGCCAGAACTGTTGACCATCTCATCCTCACCGGTCATCTCTCATTCTGATCTTGGCATCGGATATCCATCCTCCAGGCGATGAAAGTCAACGAGCTGGCAGGCCGCTGGAGAAGCACCTTGTGTCCTTGGCAGTGATTGATATGGCGAGCCGGAGCAGGGTGTGTAGGATGACGCAGAGCCGGAGCATCAATGCGTCTGCTGGAGATGCCAGGTGTCTGTTGGAACGAGCAAAGCAAGAAGTGGACTTGGGAAGGGGCTGGAGTTCGGCCCGCTTCTTAGACAAATGCAAGCAATGAGGCCCTTCATGATGCATTGACTCAATTGACTCTGGTGCCTCAACTGATTGCTGAGAGACCGTTGCTCATTTGTTGATGCATTGCATTTGCTGTGTTCTGACCAAGGTCTACTTGGCAGCATCCAATGTTTGCCAGGACAATTTTTTCCTGTCGGCTGCCAAAATTTGGCAATTGTGATCTCTCTATTGCGATCATAGGAGCTGCAGTGGGAAAGAGCAATGTCTATCTTGGAGGCAATTCGGGTACTATTTTATTGGGTCACGTTCTTTTCCAGGCGGCATAAACATTCCATTGCTCGCGCAATCAGTCCACAATTTTGCTGTAATTACACCGGTTACACCGACTACACCGTTTACACCGGACCGATTACACCAGTTACACCGATTGCACCGGTCACACAGACGACGCCAGTGGGTCACGCCAACGACGCCAATTACACCGAGCACCAGCGAAACCAGGGGAGCCAGCGTACGTAACTCGCGTCACCCGCGCAACCAGCACAACCAGCCTCGCCTGTGTACGGCACTTTTCATTTGCGAAGCTATGTCACTTCTCATTTGCTGCGGCAACCAGCGCTACGACCGTAACCAGCGCAACCAGCGCGATCACAGGCGCCATGGCAAGTGCGAGCGTACCAGCGTACCAGCGCACGAGTGCGGACACGCTTTGCCACGTCGCCCGAACATTCAACATTTCGTTATAGCTGTTTCAATCTGCAGCTGCATGGGTTGAGTCGCAATATGTATGTTTATTACTGTTTATTTTTGATTGCATTGCCGTTGAAGCTTCCTGACCGTTTGAAAACGGAGCACAGCTGCTTTGTGAGAGTTCATGCATGCGAGCCACAAAGCAAGAATGATCCAACACATCAGCTCAGCCCAAACGACATTACTCCTGTACCTCCCCCCTCCAGGTACTGTGCAATTGTTTTTTGCTCACAGTATCTCTTGTCACGTCAGGCATGAATCATACATATCCTTTTGGCCGGACTCTCGTACTGTGTGTAGATGGAATTTGTCCAAGTACAATGCACCTAGTCCCCAACATTGTGTCATGGGAGCGAGCTACAGAAAGACGCTCGTGTGACACCCAAACGCTGTCACTTGACGCATTCTGATTGTGTATTTCGAGACTTGCCTGTTGCCTTGTATCTAGAACCCTACCTGTTGACCTGCGGTCGCCTCCCTGCAGGCGCCAGTCTTGGTGGAACACGTGAATGAGCTCGGAGAGGCCCGTTTGAAACGGGTGAGCTATGGTGAGCTGGTCTGCAACGGGCTGCCTCCATGAAGCCAACTTCAACCGCTAAATGTGGAGTTTCTCCATGTCTTCGACGTTTCTTTGACAAGCCGTGAAGCCAGGCATATCCAGAAGCACTTATCCGATGTGGAGCAATGGTGAGTGTCTGAGGAGCCGTCGATGCCAAAGGGCTCTAGTGTTTCATTAGGATGGTATGCTCCGAAGTTCATTGAGCGTTTTTTGGGATTTGAACAAACCCGATTGCGCGATCCCCATCATCAATAGTTTGTCCATGTTGATATCGACGTCGTTTGCACCGCAGCGTGCAAGGCTCGATGGAGCATGGCTCTTGCGACGTGGAAGGTTCGCCATGCAGTGGTGTGAGGGCATCATCAGAGGAAACAACATGTTGCTTGCCCTTTTTTTCCTTTGGGCAATCTGAAAAGGAACGGCAACCCTTTAAGGATCTTTAAGGTGCCGGTACCCGGTATGGCTATAGATGGGCTATCTTATGCTGAGGCTGTGCGAAAATGGAGCTCGGCCTCCGACCAAGATGCGAAGGCCTTGTGCTGCGGGGTAGGTTCATTTCGTGAGTTCAAGTTCTGGAAAAGCATTTTCCAAGACCATGAAACAGTAAACCACATACTGGTAGTAGGAGCACCACTAAGGCTTTTGACCGGGACATACCTAAACTGGCCCGAAGCTCCCCAGGGAAAGCAGCTCATCGAGGCATGCTCCTGCAGGATGGACAGGTCGGCTCACGTGACAGAAAGAGCTCAAATCTACAGAAGACTTTCAGACTTTCGTGAAGAGTCAAGTGCTTCAGATCTGCTGCTTGGTCATTGTCTTTGGCAATCATATCGGAGTTGAGGAGGCCATGGACCTTGATTGAAGGACCTTGAATCGACACAAGCTGATATTTTTTTCAGACTCAGGTCAAAGATCATCAACTTAGACTGTGTAGTGCCGTCTTTTGAACTCATCAAGTATCCACCTCTGGTGGCTCCAGGATCCTTGTTATTTGTTTTGCACAGTTTGAAAGTCATGGTATATCATGCTATAGACTATAGAGACCTTTTCAACCAACAGTGACTAAGGTCTCGGGTGCAAAGCCCTGGTTCTTTACGGGCAGCTCGAACCACGTGTTCAAAGCCGAGCCGCCCAAGCATGTCCAAGAGTTTGCCGGGACTTTGGCTTGTCTCTCCATGTTTCTCCTTCCCTCCAGTCAAACTCAATTTAACTATTCAATGTTGTACTCAGTCCTTACACAGACATGCTGGCCAGCACTACATTACATTGTCCGAACACTTGGTCCTCTTAAGTAAAGGCATAATATGAAAGTAGCCATGCTCCAGCAGCAGAGTTTAAACTTCAATCAGAACGAATGGGCCGTTTGGACCTTATGTACGAAGTGGATACACCATGCCAGACCACTGACAGCCAAGCGATCAACCACTTGTTTGCTTGAGGTCCTCTCAATGGTCAGCCGTTCTGATGCTGCAAGGAGACAAGATCACATTTGTGGCTGTGGACACAGTTCAAAATATACAACTGGGTGCACGACAAACACCAGAATTTGAGATATTTTGAGCAATGCTTGAAAGTTGAATCACTTGTAGGGCTACATCATTCAGGACTCATCCAAGATGTGAGTGCAGCTTGGTCCAAGACATGAAGATGTCGTTTCCGATCTTTTCGGGCTCGTTTTGTGTTGTGGATGAATGCTTTGGCGAGGTCAGTCTTTCTAGACCCAGATTTGAGATCATTACAAACATCTCAGTCCATTCCAGTCCCGACAATCGCTTTGAAAGGAGCCATGTTTTATTAATGGTATGAGTCATACGTTTGTAGTTATGTATTTATAAATATGAAAGAAAAGATGGACCCCTGATGTGTGCTTCGTTCCTTTTTGAAAGGCCTGAACTGCGTCTCGTTTGTTTCTTACTTCAACCGGGGGCTCCAGCATGCTTCGGTGAGTATGAGCATCCATGAGTGGCTTGTTGTGTGCAGGTGCTTTATTCAGGATTGGTGCCAAATATAGATCCTGTGCGCGACTGAGTACGGTGTTTGTGCTGGTAACAATTGCTACAGCCTTGTTTTTGTCAGCTCCGAGCAAGGCTTTTGAGCCACATAGATGGCAACGTGATTACCTTCGAAACAAGGCCGGGGTGGTCGTCCTTATTGCGGTCATGTTGCGAGCATCCTTGTGTGGTGCTGACAGGCCGTGGATGAGAGCTTTGACCTTATAAAGGCTTGTAGCAGGCGTCATCTTGGGAATCAATGAGTCAATGAACGCATGTTGACAAGGACGCTACTAGGGGCTCCTGGCCTTACTACTAGGAACAAGAAGCTACTAGTAGCTCCTGGCCATACTACTAGGAACTAGACACAAGAAATAAATGAAGTGCCGGCCCTTGGGGCCTGCGGAGTTGAAATGTCTGCCAGGGGCTTGTTGTGGAACCGAGCACAGGCGTTGCTTGTGAAGGACTCAGCCAGTGGTGTTTATTTTTGTTTATGGTTTGTTTTTTTTTTCTCCCTTTTGGGCGGACAACTGAACGTCCCTACCCCTAGCTCTCATCACAGCAGAAACTGATGAGGCAGCTTTGCCCAGTCCCCGCAAGGAGGCAAGATGGGAGAGAGCTTGAGGATGAATCGAGGGGTATTACTTGTCAATTATGGTCCCTGAGAATATGCCAAGCTAAAGGGGCTGGCACCTAGATCTTCCACCGCCTTAGATAGAACTTTGAAGATGCAATGCTTTCACTAGGTTTCACTCTGGTGACTTCACTCCGCATATCTTGGCCTTTCTATTTGTGCTTCCACTGCTCGAGCTCACTGCTCCATTCAGCCGTTCTGGCTAGAGCACATAGCCAAGACGTAGAGGGCTTTCATCACGGCCAGGCGCGAGTATGCTCGAGTATCCTTGAAGCTGTTGGTGTTCTTTGGACACCAGTGAGCCCATTTGAGCTTTTGCTTGGGACGAAAACTTGTCGCCAGGTTATGCGTGCGCTCAGGAACCGGAGCGCAGCGCAAATAAGAGCTGATCGGGAGTTTCTGGCAAAAGCCAAAGAGTGACCCAGTTGCAAATCACAGCTCTCACACGCACGCTCAGGCACTGATGTCTCCGTGGGGCCCAATTTTGTTGTTTGCAAAACGAATGTTAGTATGCACTTGATGTACATGCTTTCAGCAGGACAAGCCAGATGATTTGGTGACAAACCGATCAGCCAAGGCAGATGAGAAAGCCGGGAGAGATCGATTCGGTCTACAAGGCCGGTAATTTCGATCAATGGTAGCAGTATAGCATATATCAGAGAGCCTCCATTGAGTTGTGTGTCCACTCTTCTCCTAGAGGGAGGTTCACCCACCACGCTGGGATAACGCAAATGCCAAGATTCGTGCATTTCATCATAACACAAAGACACTATATGGCACTATCAAACGAGGTTGAACAAATGCCGCCTGATGCATATAAAAAGCAGCATGAGACACCATCCACATGGCAAATCACCTTGCAGCACTTTGCATCAGACGCCTCACAGCACAATTGATGCGTAGCGCGCTCCTCTCGACCACCACCAAATCGGCCATGTCGCTGTGTCTTTCGTTCCATCGTCGAACGACACAAACAACTTGTCCGTCCGAAACGCGAGGTTCACTCCACCCAAAGGAAATGTTTTTTGGACATGAAAAATTTTTAGCTCCAATCCAAGGTTCTCATGTTCTTCGGCATCGCAGTGTTCATGTGGACCTTCATCGTCCCATACCTCAAAGAGATGAAGCTGGAGAAGGAGCCATTGGTCCATTGGTGAAAAGATGTCCGTCCAACAATGTAATTAAAGATGTCCAATGGTTTTCCTTCAGACCCTTGGCTGGTTATCTTTTTTTGATTCCCTCCAAATCAATGGGTGCCAGACTTTAGCCTATTTTTTGTGCTTCTCATCCTTTGTTTCCCCGGCCAGACTTTGGAAGTCATCTAGAAGTCCAGAACAGAAACCATCTCGACACGAAAATCGGCAGCCAGCAACGGACAGCAAACATCCAGAACAACTGCAGGGCTCATTGACCGATCAAATTTACTCAGTTGATTGGCACTGCAACCGAGTAAAACATATATATATGTCGAAGCAGCCGATTGCCGTTCGTCATGTGCACCTTGTCATGACCGCAGGGACCCTTGCTCGAAGGAAAAAGGAGCCCGCGCGACCTTCAGGAGAAGGGTGGTTTTCCGCAATTGGTAGCGGAGCCCGGGACCGCAAAGCGGGACCGGGCTCCCGCATGGACGTTTTCGTTGTCGTGACCCTCTAGGAAGGGGGTGTGATTCGAAGCAGCCGACTGTGATCCAGGGACGCAAGCATGACTTCCGCTTCCTCCAACAATCCTGCCGAGGTAGGACCTGTGAGAGTTTTCACCGGCGACACTGAAGATTTCCGTGAGTACCGCCGTTGGAAGACCTGGTGCCTCAACAAGATGTTGACCATGGACAAATTGTCTGAAGCGGCTCGGGGAGCCTATATCATGACATTGTTGGCTGGAAAGGCCTATGAAACGGTCGAACATCTTGACCCTGCCGATTATCAGAAGAAGGATGGCGACAAGTTGATCTGGCAGTTGTTGGATGCCAGATTCCCCAAGCTGGACGCCGTTGATGAGTTGAGCGAGATTCTGTCCGAGGTTTTCTCACTGAAAGCCCGAGAGGGCGAGACCATGAAACAATGGTCAGCTCGCGCCACCGAGCTGTTCGACCGCTGCAATCGGAAGGCTGGAGTCTCATTTCCGGATGAGGCCAAGGGCTGGATTCTGCTGAACCGGGCCATGCTGAATGATGAACAGCGAGCAGTGGTGGTTTCGCATGCTCGAGGAGGTTTGAAGCGTGAATCCATCGCCTCAGCTCTTCGCTCCTGCTATCCTGATCTGGTGATCAAACGAAAAGGTGCAGCCAGTGTTGAGGAGACCCTCGCAGTCCAACCTTCTGACCCTCAGGACCTGGCTGAAGAGCTAGACTTCGAAGATGTTGAAGAGTTCTTGACGGACCATACGGGTCGTGATCTTCCCCAAGGTGAAGATGAAGGGTATCCTGAGCAGGAGGTGGCGGAGGTCCTCGCAGCATCCTGGCGTGAGAAGCGTCAAGAGTTGAACAAGCTTCAAAGGACAAGACAGTTCCAAAAGGCCAAAGATGTGCGCCGCTCATTTAGAGTTGAGATTGAGGAACTGAAGAAACAGACTACCTGCAATAAGTGTGGGAAGCGTGGACATTGGGCAAGAGAGTGTCGCAGTGGCAACAAGGGTTCGGGTAAAGGCAGTGCACCATCTGGATCTACATCCACTTCTGGTGTTGCTATGGTAGAATCTGAACTCGACTTTGTGGCGATGGCCTCGGAACGCCCATCCATGCTGGAACGTCTGCAGCTCAAAAGGGTTCAGGAGGCCACGGCATGCCCACCTTTCGAAATCATGTTGATTTCCAGCCCCGGTTTTGGCGTGTTGGATAGCGGATGTGGCCGGACCATCATTGGCAAAGCGACCCTCCTGGAATTTGAGCGTCTGTGGAAACAACAGGGTGTGGTGATTCCTCAGCCAGTATCTGAGGTGCATCAGTTCCGATTTGGAAATGGCCACGTGGAAACTTCCACGGAATCGGTTTGCATCCCAGTGTGGCTCGCTGGCAAGCGCGGTTCAATCCGTGCTGCTATAGTGAGCGGTTCAGCTCCGCTCCTGATCAGTCGCACAGCATTGAAAGCTCTACAAGCCTCCATCGATTTTCACAACGATGAGCTGCGGGTATTTAATGAAGTTGTCATTCCATTGAAGACAAATGCAGCTGGTCAATATGTGATCCAGTTGATGCAGGACAGCTCACCATCGCAAGTCAAAGCACCACTGTTCGAAGAGGTTATGCTGACTGAGCTTCCACCATTGCCGGCTTTGCATGCATCCGATCCTAGGAAGCCTCCGTGTAATAGTCCAAGTGAAGACCAAGAGCCGACCGAGTCCGAAGATGCCTCAGCAGCCAATGCTGACCATAGGTCCAGTGCCTCGTACTCGAAGCCATTTGTCGAGGGACCATCCACTGATGCCGCCGCCATGCGTGCTGGGTGCAGGAGGACAGTGGGGTTTCTAAGATTCCATGGGTGTCATCCTGTGGACCGTCTTGGCATACGATTCACAAACGTGTTGTTCTGGACGCCGTCACTAAGAGAGTGCTAGCATCACATGAGTTTCAAGATCGCCAAAGCCAGAGGATGAGTATTGTTCCTCTTCCTCCTCATTCGGGACATGTGATCACCAAGTTCTTCCACACTGATCCCAGAGTGGCATCTGAGACGATTCCTGGGGAAGGGGATTGTGTGTGGGTTCCATCAGCTCACCAGTTTCGACAGTTGAACAAGCAAATCGAAGTGTGTCACGAAACTTTGGTTAGTCAAACAGAACCGGTCATTGTCCAAGAGGTGTTTTCACCTCCACGCTTTGCCCTGGAAGTTAAGGCTCATGGTCTGAAGGCCTTCTCGTATGATCTTAAGAATGGATTCGATCTCTCAACCCGATCCGACAGGAGTCGAGTGGAAGAAGCACTGGAGAAACATCCACCGGAGCTGCTCGTTCTGTGCCCACCTTGCACAGATGAAGGGGGATGGTTTTTCTTGAACAGCTCTAAGTGGGATCGACTGCAGTATCTAAAAAGAGTTGCCCAGAGTCGTAGTTTCATCAAATGGTGTTGCAAACTGTTTCATCAACAGGTAAATCGAGGCAAACGAGCTTTGTTTGAGCATCCAACCGGAGCCAAGACCTGGTCGTATCCTGAAGTCCAGTCTCTCTGTCGCAAGCACTATACGGTGAAACTTCACATGTGCAGGTACGGGATGCAGTTGCCCGGGAGTGAGAGATTCATTAGGAAGAGCACCCGTCTGCTGGTCAGTCATGAAGACATGCAGGTCCTGTCTAAGCTGTGTGAAGGGGTAGGTAAACATGAAGCCCATGATGTAGTAGCTGGACGTTGGCCAGGTGTCTCGTCAGTCAGCCAATATGCAGGACAATACCCCCGACCTTTTGTGAAAGCCGTCCTCCACACAGTACCTGCATTTCGAGACCGGACCAGCCAGAACGAAGTCCTGGAAGTCATCGAAGATGATCTGTCTGCCAGTGCATGGAATGAAGTGAATGCTGTCGCTCGCGTTTCCGTCCGAACCGATGAAGAGCTCAAGCCAGTACTCATGAAGCTTCACAAAAACTTAGGACACCCACCAAATCATGACCTGGTTCGGGTGTTGAAACACGGACAAGCTAGTGAACAAGCCCTGAAACTGGCCAAGGATTTATCGTGTGACTTCTGTAAGAGTCAGAGTAGACCATCCGTTCCATTGCCAGCGCAGTCCCGTCGCATTACCGAAGTCAATCACCAAGTAGGACTAGATGTGAAACTGCTTCAGGGGTGGCGAGTCAATCAGAAGATCAAAGCTCTTAATCTAGTGGACTATGCTAGCGGATTTCAGCGAATGATTCCGTTCTTTGAACCTGAGACCTCAAGTGTGATTCGACAACTGTATCAGGACAATTGGGTGTCATGGTTGGGCCCTCCACGAGAACTCATTCTTGATCCAGCTCGAACCAACTTGGGTGAAAATAT